GTGGTTTCCAAACGTCTTTTTACTTTAATCTTATATCAGTTTTTTGAAAAAGTCAAAATTTATTTAAGATTTTTGAAGAACGAAATAAAAATTGTTTTTTCTCAAATGTGGACATCTTCGATTTTCTTTGAAAAAATGATAAAAAAAAGTAGAAATATTTCCCTTTAAAACGAGTCCAGAATCAAGATGGGCAAACTTTTAGTTTTTAAGATACAGTCCGTTTTAGGACCGGATTTTTTTCTACTTTTTTAAAGATTTTTTTCAAAGAAAATCAAAGATGTCTAAATTTGAGAAAAAAACTATTTTTATTTTGTTCTTCAAAAATCTTAAATAAATTTTGACTTTTTAAAAAAACTGATATTATAAGATTTAAACGGCGTAAAAAGATCTTTCAAAACCACTACCTGTTTTTTAAAATTGGATTAATCTACTGGAACTTACCGGTGTTTGAAGTTGGACGCCACGGCCCAAATAATAAAAATTCAAGCCTCTGTTAATAGAGAGCCCGTTGGTCGCGGGCCAAAAGATTTGAACAACGATTTTACTTTTGATAGAGTTACAATTTGGAGAGACTTCGCCCCTCCCCCGCCTATGAGTAAAAGTCATAACTTTTTGTATTTTTATAATTTCGATAAAAGATCGAATTCTCCAACTCTCTATTTGGTATTTTTATCATTCTGTATATTTAACTAATTAAAAATAGGATATATAAATAGTAAAACGAATGTCTTTTTAAGTGTTACGTCCAGACTCGAGGAAGGATGAGTCGACGGAAGGGCGCAACAACTATCTTTAATTTATATAGATATTGATAAGTGACTAAATGTTTAAGGAATGTGTGACGCAAGATGCTCTATTTACCGAACGACTCATTTCTATCACCGATCGATTATCATTGCCGCAACTTCGTGGAAGGAAGGAATCGTGGAGTCACCAGGACGTAACATAAGTATAGTAGTATATTTTAAAGTTATTTTGATAGCAAATATAATTTAAACATAATATCAAAAAATGCGTCAACAGAAAGTAGCTCACAAAAAGGAAATTTTCTCTTAAGTGCATAAATTCTGTCGCCTCAATTGCGCCATCTCAAAAAAATTTACGTAAAAATAATAAACAGTATTAAAGATAAATGTGAACGTTTCTTATTTAAAAAAAACAACAATAATTACATTTTTTATATAAAAATTCTTTAATAAGATTTTACTACTCTCTTTGTCATTTTCTCTTTCTTTCTTTCTTCCAAAGTTTAAAATTTGTTTTATATTAATTTTAAAGTTTAATTTGATTGGTATAACATTTATTGCTACTATTGAAAGATATTTAAAATTGACAATAATATAATTTTTGGAAAATGTTTATCTTTATCAGTATAGATAATGTAGAGCGTTTTCAATTATTTGAACTTATCAATTTTCATAATCACAGAAATATAAAATATTTATTTATTTATTTATTTTCAATTATTCAATTATCTTATTCAATTATTTTATTCAATTTTTTGCAGGTTTTATCTGTATCTGGAAGTAACTAAAGTATTATTTATCATAGTGTGCATAAAATTGTACATGTATACTATCTTCAGATTGTTTAATGAAAAAAACAGTTTCGCCTGGTTTACCTTTATAGCGATACAATTCTTAGAGAAGTTTTGCATCTGTATGATATTTGTATGGAAGAGAGAGAGAGAGGAAGATTAAGCTGTTACTGCTGAAACGATTCGGTTGGCAAAATCGCGAAACTTAACACGCTATCGCATCCTCAAACAATTGTATCACTACGTCAGTGATGATTTCTCTATACTCTATGGGATAAGATCAATTCTTACAGAAAAGCGAACCGTCGTGAACAATGTTCGTCTGATTCTACCGACCTTTAGTGCTATAAACCACGACAAGAAAATTCTATCATAGATCACAGATCGACAGTTAACCAGTGATTAACTACAATAATATTTTACTCAATGATTAATTTTGCATTATTGTGCGTTGATCATTTTACTTTTTTTTTTTGACAAATCCTGACAGGTCCTGATCCCCATCTATCAAATGTGTGCTTGGCTATTTTTTCTCGTTTTCTTTTCGTTGTCCTCTGATTTTTACTCTTTTTAAGAATATATTTATAAGCTTTTTTTTATTTTCTTTGCAATTTATATTTCTTAAGTTTTTGATAACATTTTTTATGGTAAATATAGCGAATAGGGGACCCAGCCCCAATGACCTTGACCTTGACATATGTTATCGAGGACATAATTCTGAGTAACTTTTTCTTTTAATTTAATCGTCGCTCGTTGCTTATTAAAAAGTTATTAACAAAAAAAGTTTAAAATATACCAAAGTACACGCACGGACAGGAAGCACGCGCGCGCGCACACGCACACGCACACACACGCGCACACACACACACACACACACACACACACACATTAGAAGAAAAAGTTACTCAGAATTATGTCCTTGACAACATATGTCAAGGTCAAGGTCATTGGGGCTGAGTCCCCTTTTCGCTATATTTACCCTCAGAATTATGTCCTTGATAACATATGTCAAGGTCAAGGTCATTGGGGCTGAGTCCCCTTTTCGCTATATTTACCCTCAGAATTATGTCCTTGATAACATATGTCAAGGTCAAGGTCATTGGGGCTGAGTCCCCTTTTCGCTATATTTACCCTCAGAATTATGTCCTTGATAACATATGTCAAGGTCAAGGTCATTGGGGCTGGGTCCCCTATTCGCTATATTTACCAAAATTAAAACCAAAATTGCCACTATCATGTCTGTTACGTGCAAACATACATGTATATAAACTATGTATAAATACATAGTTTTTATCATATTGTAATGTTAGATAGAATAAATCAATTTTTATAGTTATATATGGTAGATTTTCTTAAAAATTTTGAGCAATAGCATATTTAATTTAATGTGCATTTGCATTACAATTTCTTCTATTTTTATCCGCTAAATATGAAGTAAAAATTGTGCGCTTCACAGACAATTTCGCCCGTTACAAAGAAATACGAAACAACAGAAGAGAAAAAAGTTAATCATGTATTCTGTCTTCGCGTGGGGAGGCTCCTTCATGCTCGCTATCATTTGTGGCATAATGGAGATTGTACCTGGCGTACCAAAAAACCTAATCCGGAATTTCGCATTGACAACTGTTGGTTTGGTAGTAAGTGAATGCCACATTGATAAATAATTCATTTAATGTTAGCACATAAAAATAAAATATTATAACTATAAGTCTATTTTTGTTAAAATTAAAAATATATTTTATACACTTAAAAAACGCGATTTAATATGAGAAACAATATGATATTTATATTTTTTATCACATTTTCAGGCAATACAGCATATTTGTTATATTTTCACGGGATTGTAATTATCTCTGTTATCATTAGCATTTGCTTATCTGTTTGTACGGCACGAAAAATTGCACATTACCAAAAAGATATTGCTCATCAGCTGAGAGATTCGGAAAGCCGGCGTTATAATGAAAACAAGCAATGGTACGTAAGCAATATATTTGCATCGATGCGTGATATAACTTATCTTATTGATAAAATATATATGCCGAAAAATCAATAAATAAAAATTTATCAACGGCATTATACTTATTTTCAATTGAAGAGAAAGAGAGAAATATTATCATTTTAAGACAAGCGCGCGCGGATGTCCTATTGTTGGTCCGTCCATCGCCCAAACCTCCTTTTCCTCTCTTAGTCCAGTAAAATAGTATCAAAAACCGAATATCTACAAAACGGATAGACAAGCCAATTTTTTGAGGGTGAGTAGAAGGTCATAATATTAATGTCATGTTGCTACAAGTGTGCTGGTACTTTGTGGCTCTATATTTCTGCAATGTCTTTGTAATGTTGCATTGCAATTTGCAATATTGCAATGTTGCTGCAATATAATTGCAATGATCTGTGCTGTATGGGTAATAACTTATTATCGCTGGCCGGACTATATACTAAAATAACAAAACATTACGCGCAACTAATAAAACATTAATAAATTTATAATATTTCTCCGCATTTTTGATCCACGATTATGGATTTAGCACAAACATGCACTGGCCGTTTTACCGTGGTACCGAAAAGTGAACCTGACAATTTAATTCCACCGGCTCTAAAATGGATCCAGTTGGCGCTACTGCATTAGCTAGAAAAAGCGTCTTTCGAAAAACGGCGGTTAATCCCTCTCATGTTTCTCTCTGATATCAGAGAGAAGTCTGAGAGGAGCCACGCCGCCCTTTTGTGTAATAGCGCCTGTGCATTTTAAAACCAAGCGGAACTATATGGCCTGGTTATCAATTATCTGTAATTCAAGTGAGGGTGAAAATTGCAAAAATTACAAAAAAGTAAATTTACTAGAATATTTATAATTTTATTGATCCAAATCTAGTAAATTCGCTCATTTCTGTAATTTTCATCCTCACTTGAATTGCAGAATCGATACCCACATCCACTTTTCGGTGCCATGTGTAAAACGGCCGGTTGGGAGGTTCGTGCTAGATTCATAATTGTCCGAGACATATTATAGATTTATTAATGTTTATATTTAGCTGCGCAGGATGTTTTGTTATTTTAGTATATACTACGGATAGCGATAATAAATTATTATCGAAATATTATTTTTATGTATATATATGCGCATGTAAAATGAAATAAATTTTCTTAGATAAATTTTCTTAATAATATACATGCATATATATAATATCCTTAATTTTTAAATATATAGTTTATATTGTTTGCATGTAAGTGACATAAATTATTTATATAATTTACGGGTAAATGCCTGCATAAGATACAAAAGAAATATACGAATTTATTGTCAAATATTATTACATATATCAATAAGTATTATATATTAGATACACGCTCGTAAAAAATTGTCATTCTAAAAATTGATTGTAAATCTAAATGCAATGTAAAAAATACAACGCTTAAATTTTTATGCGTACAAATATCGCGTCAGATCGATTGCAAAAGAGAGGCAATAGATTCTTCGAGTTAAGTCAGTTGCGAACATTCTGTTGCATCGCGCATTTAATAAAGGTTTCGTGATTAATATCAGATGTTTTGACATTATGTTTTTGATTTCAAAAACAAGGTGAATAAGGCAAGTGTGATTCTTACCTTATACATCGTAAAGTAATATAATTATAACTGTAGCGTACAGCATCATAAGTTTTTACCCTTTACCATTTGGTGCTAACAATCCTAGAAATTAGATCTCCACTCTAAGAGAAGAAGAAGTGCGCAGTCATATTGTGACATCGGGACGCCTGATGCAGATTTAATCGCGAATTAAAATCACAGAAGAGAGTATCAAAAACACAAAATCATTAATCGTTGCAATTAATGTGCTGTAATCTTTATATTATAATATATTATATGTATTATCCGAATAATGATTTTAAATTCAGTAATTTCTTCTTCCGAAAATTTCAATATATTATATTTCAATATATGTATCAGATTTTTATCTACTGCAAATTACGCTAGATCACTGAACTTTGATTGAAAACAGGATCCTATATTATTTCGTCGAAATTTATGCTACGTTGTATAAGTAAGTCCTTTGCTTTCTGACGGTTCTCGCCAACCACCGAATGTCCTTTCGATTTCTTGCGCCACAGCAATCGTCAGATAATCGCAGCCTGGATTTGCGGCAATCTAAAGACAAAAGCATAGAAAAATGAAGTTAAAATTAAATAAATTAAAAACAAATTAATAAGACTTTTTTAAACAAAAAAAAACAAACTGTTCAGGTAGCAAATGCATGTCATTTGATGCCAAAATAACATCATTTGACGTTCAAATAAATAGATAATTTAAAAAAAGTTAAAAGCCAATACGAATCAAACGCGAAATGGAGGTGCAGATGAGAAAATTTTGTTTGCTCTTTTATTCAGCGACCGATTCGTGCTAGTCTTTAATTATTTTAATTCCGATTGTTTAACCATCGAGTCTGTTCCTTTTTTTATTTAAAAATACAATTGTTTAATAATTTTCGCATTTCTTAGAATCAAGTAGAAAACGGGTTTTTCACCTGAAGTCCAAGCGGCAGTTGGTTTTTGTCAAAACTAAGTGGGCATTGTGTGACCGGAAATCCTAGCACATTGAAGATCATCATGTAAGTATAATTGCATACATTGTACAGACTTTCGTGAGGATAATGCGCCGACGAGATGAAAGATGGAAAGATTAATATACCATTATCGCCCAGCAGTTCCTAGTCAAGTAACATTTCGTGCATTATTTAATATTATATATATAATATATGTGTATATTTATATATTACAGATTAAATCTCGCGCGTGTATCAACTATATATTTCGAATATTTTACTATAGACAAAATATTTTAAGATAAACAAATATCGTGTCTAATTTTGCTAAGAAATTTAAAGATATGAATAGAATCTACCTCAAATTGCTTTTTCAATCGCATTCTCGTCTCTAATAATTTATTATATTCTGAGACTGGTAATCGTTTGGCGATATTACTTATTATTCCATAACATATGGCAGGAAAAGTATGCGATGACATAAAAAAAAGGTACTTTAATGTTTCCATAAGTACGCTCTTCGATTTCTAAAAAAAAATTTATGAGATATAATTTTGTTTTTGTCTACAAAATATTTACATTATACCTTAGGATCATCCAAGCGATTAAACATCGTATCTATATCTTGGATTTTCGAAAGAATAAATCCGCTTAATTCAAAAGATAACTTCATATCTTCCAAATTTGCCTGTGAATAATCGAAAAAATAAATGTAATGTCTGCCAATATTTTTAGATCTGTATATAGCAATATTGTAAAATCTAATATATTTTAAGTAGATTTTAATTCTTAATAAATATACAATAAATTATATATATGACAAGGTAAAACCTGCGAAAGGTAACACCTCACCGATCTCACTTTAATTTTCACATATGTTATATGTAGATTATAATGGTTAAAATCCTGACTCACATGCACTTTTGCAAGTTTTATGACAGTAATAAAGAAAATTCTTTTTTCACAAATTAAAATTGGTTTATACAATGTAATAAAAACTTTTGTCACATACTTTTTGCACTTTGACACTATATGTTGTTTCCAAGTATCTTTTTAGTTTGTAAATTACGCCTTTCATATCTCTGTTCACAGAATTAGTTGCGCTCGATCCGCAATGGTCCATGTAAAAGAATTTCATATCCTCCAGACGGACCTGTACGATTATGTTGCAATACTTTGATTAATTGTTATAGTCCGAAATATTGAAATGAATATATTCACATTTATAAATATTTTATTACATATTATAAATATTTTATTATAAATATTTGTGATCACAATTGGAAAATTTTAACAAAGCAAAGACTTAAAAAACTCTAAATTAAGATTAGAAAAATTCTGACCTTTTTATTAAAGCCAATTCTCGCTTCGTCAGTTTGCGACATAACTGTCAACAGAAGAGGCAAATCCGAGGCGTATCTAACCATTAAACCGATTGTAAAAAAAGAAGACCAATTTTTGTCACATGCGCTAGGCTTATGGCCTTCTATTGAAACCCAGTCTGCGAACATACAAATTAGCAATTTTAATCGTTATTTATCGTAACACTGTTTCATGAATAAGTGTAATCCAAAATAAACAATTGTAAAGATATGAATATTTTCTTTTTTCTTTATTAATTGTTTGGTGTGGATGTAAACAACTTACTGGGCGTAGGTTTATGACCGAAAACTCCGCAAAACATTGCCGGAAGTCTAGCTGATCCAGCGATATCTGAAGCTAAGCTTAGAAGAGAGGCGCCAGCGCCAAGAAGGGTAATATATTTATAAACATATATTTAATTATTAATACATTTACTTTGCATATTTATATATTGCATTTTCTATTTACTATAAATTTCTATTACATATTATTTAAATAAAAATTGTAAACAGAGATTATTCTAAAGGAAAATTGTGCGCTCTATTAGAAAAGAAAACATCATATACGAACCTCGCCACCGGAAGAGCCGCCAGAGGTCCTCCGAGTGTCGTAAGGATTCCTGGTGACGCCAGTTACTTTGTTGAATGTATGCCACCACAAGCACAATTCTGGCGTATTACTGACAAGAAGAGGAATACCACCGGCCTCACGAATCTTCGCCACGACATTGGCGTCGCTCGATGCCCTCGAAGGAGTGTCCTTTACTCCCACCGAATAACTCATTCCTAGACAGATAAACATTTATTTTTATTGTGCACCACGTGCCAAGTGCAAAAAAATATGATCTATAAAATTATTTCACCGATATCGTTCTTATCTGAATTTAATATATTTTTTATTAGGTTTTTAAAAAATATACATGATGTATTATGTACACGAATGATAAAAGGGAAAAGAACAATATGTGTAAAATGTTGTAAAATTTGTTTGTAAAATTTTAAATCGACATTTATTAACGCTAATCTTTCGTATTCGATAAATACATAGAATAACGTAGAATGTATTTGTTGCTGAAATATTAGTAATGTTACACTTGACTCTTGATTTTTTGAAGATTTAGATATCCTGGATTTAAAGATGTTTTTTAGCCAAAAAATATCCCACAAGAATAATGCTGTATATAATAATTAATATATTAAATAGTAAACCTTTATTATATAAATTATTATTAAATAGTATTATTATTAAATTATTATTAAATAGTATCTTTAAGTACGAATCCCAAGAAGAACTTTTTTATGAATTTATTCAGGTAACAACGACTTCGTTAAATCACGTAAATTACTGTGAATATGGTAATATATGCAAACAAACGACTCGGAGAGATAGATACATAGAGAAAGAGAGAGAATTAACATTCACAAAGCTGGCGACCTTAATTTTTCATGTGGCAGAAAATTCTGAAATCGCGTTATTAATAACAAACAAAAAATTAATGACAAGCAAAGTTGATGCGATAAAGATATTCAGGCATTTATATGTATATATCTCACGTAAAAATGTTACTATTATATATCGTCAAATATTTATCATTCTTGTCATCAGGTACACACTATCATTTTTTATCGCGTAAAAATTAAGAACAAATCGATATTTAAATAATGGCTCCGCTAATTCAACGTTCGTTTAAATGCAAATGCGTATATGAAACGCAGTAAATATTAAATATTCATCTTTACAGGAGAAGATATAGACGATTCTTTTGAACGTATTACGTCAAGTGTATATAGCAAATCCGAGAATTCACACGCGTGGTTAACATAAATGCGTAAATTACCCGTAATGTGGAGGTAGAGTGGGTTAAACTGAACAGAAAAGTCCTGTAACATTTTTTTCTATAACGCTTAATAAAGAGGTTATTATTGAGTAAAGTCTAGTCATCAGCGCCGACTTTTAGCCGGACGCACGTCGGTGAGCCGCCCGCCTGATAGTGTGCGCCGCCGTAGCGACGGAGCGCTCACGCACACTACCAAGCGCGCGGCTAAAAGTCGGCGCTAATTGGCAGACTTTATTCAATAACAACTCCTTTATTAAGCGTTGTAGAAAAAGATGTTACAGGACTTTTCTGTTCAGTTTAACCCACTCTACCTCCACATTACGGGTGGGGCGATTATTATCAGACACCCTATATATCCGATTTTATATATTTTTTGTTTCTCACAAATCATATTTTGCTAGATACGTTTTTTTCCTTTCTCATAAGAGACATTTTTTCTTGTGCAAGAAATATTTTTCAAGCAGCACGATGTTTTGCTGTCGAGTTACGTCGATTTATGGCTCGTTAATTAATTGTCACTCACGTACGCCACTAGTTTCGAGAGATTTCTTTAGATATAAGAATCCTTTAGAATACTTTAGTATTCTGTTATTTGGGACATCGGCCACGATAAGTAGAACTCACGTAGTTGGTATCCGCTATTAAATGATTGAATATAAATTAGCTTGAATTGGTTTTGAATGTAAGCCGATTTTATTTATCATGCAAAAAAATAATCAATCATCGTTATTAATAATTTAATTCATTTGTAAAATAAAACTTTTTTGTTATAAGTTCATTTCTATGCACCGATAAAATGATTGTTGATCAGTTCCAATCAAAAAATTTGTCTCTATAATATTCATTCAATATGCAAAACCCATATTTATAAATTGAATCGATTTTGTCACACAAAAATTTTTATCTCACATAATCTAATAATTTTATTATTAGGAATATCCAATTTTATATATTTTTTGTTTCTCACAAATCATATTGTGCTACATATGTTTTTTTTTCTTTCTTATGAGAGAAATTTTTTCCAGATATTTGAATTTCGTAAAAGAGAGAGATATTCTTTAAGATATTTAAAATTAATTATACATATTTCAATTTTAATTATTATATAATTATAAATTGTACGAAAAAGATTTCTCACATCGCGATTAAAAAATATACATTACTATATAGACTTTCGTTTTGATTGATATTCTTTGTAGCAATTCTCATTTATTTGCATAAAACGTGAGAGAATTCCGATGGCATTGAAAAAATAAGCGCATTTCCATTCAATTAAAATTACATCACAATTTATGTCTTATAAATACAAATATTTCAAGCGTGTTGAATGTCAAAAAAATATTTTTTTGGCATATATTATAGTATATATTGTCTCGATAACTCGTATCATTCTGATAGTCAATAATATGATAGTATTATGTATGCTGTATTATCATATCTTATTTCTTACGTTTATACATACAGAGTATCAAAGTTTACATTGCAAAAAGAATAAGTAATTGCAACAAAAAAGTAAATTATCAAATACAAAGTGCACGCATTAATAACGATGCATAGTGAAGACATTTAATTCAGTATATTCACAATTCAATATCAATCACGCCAAGACAAAAATTAATCTTGCTTCTTCAAATTTTCTTTCTACGTGTATACACGCATATATCAACAATTCGCTATCTTTCTCTTTTCCAGATTATAATCTTAATATATATTAAAAAGGTGTGCATTTTTCAATATATTATATAATCCTGCAACATGTCATAAGAGATATATAATCCTAATTATATCCTATAATTCTATTAACATGCTATAAAATTATATAATATATAATGATAAACTTGCAATAAAAAAACATACACTTTAATATATATCAAGATTATAAATTTGAGGAAAAGAGAGATAGGGAATTGCTGATTCAGAATTAACAAATTGTTGATTCATTTAATCCAGTTAGCAATTGCAATTGAAGGATTTAGTACAAGAGAGAGAATGATTTATCCGAAATTGACTTTAAGAACTTAAGGTAAATTTTAAGTAATATTTTGAGATTTTTAGTATATAAATAAAAAAATTAATTTTGTTAAACAATATTAAATAATTTAATAAATTTAATTACCTCAACTGTATAATTATAATTGTTCCGTGTTCATAGAAAAGCGTACCGAAAACAATTCTCTCTTCTTAGGATGATCTTCATCACTTATATACGATTCGAATCTGAGTGAGCGAGCGTCACGTCCAGTTCGCGACCGTCACTGTTCATGACTAATTCACACCGATTCAAAAAAGAAACCATGGACAAAAACGAGTCTGAAGAAGCGACAAGTGGGGCAAACGTTGTCGAAGCATGTTTCGTGACGCGCTTTGTCTTGTCTATATCATTTTCGTTTTAATACGCTTACCATAAATTTCACGACACACTTCTGAAAATATTGTGCTATTATAATGTAGTATTATTATGGAAAATATGTAGTTCAATTAATTAACTTTTTAAATTATTTTTATAATTTGTAAATTATTAAAATTTTTCTCTTTGTTTAGTTAAACAATTTTATCAATTAAATTAATTATTTGGTCCATTTATTGCCTATGTATGCCTTTTTTTTAAAGACTCTACATCTATATAAATGATTATGTACACGAGCGTGTGTCGCAGTTTTTTCTCGCATTCAGGATAATGAATATTTTATTAAATATTCATTATTATGAATGCCAACCAAATGCTTTTTTGCTGATTGTAAGTTGTATGAGTCTATTTAAATTTCAATATGCAGTTTATAAATATTAATACACAGAAGTTTAAAGGTTAAAAACTGATTTCCACACTGAGAAAAAAAAAGTGTTGACATGATTAAACGCGTTTAGTTCGTTATCATTTTTTTAGTTGAACTATTTAAATATTTAAGTCAAATATACGTCAGTATTATTAACTGATTCATATAACTTGAGAGAACAATATGATTTTGTTGACACATTCAATTTAGTGAATTATATACCTTATTGTCTTAACCAATTTACTATTAATTCAAATAAGCGATAATGCAGAAGAAAATAAATAATAAAATTAATGAATTGGATTAATTCAATATTATTTATATTTATTTAAAATGATTATCTGTATTGGGTCATATTAATAACATCCAAAATGTAAGTTTCAGTTTTTATTTTTATATTCTTATATTCTTATATTTTTATATTTTATATTTTTATGTTTCAGTATTTATGTTTATATTTTGTACATAAGGAAAGATCCCCGATGCTATAGAATCGACAAAAGCAAGAGCAAGAAATAATGAAGGAGCAAGCGAGATGACAAACATCAAAGAATTCCGGAGTCTCGCTCGCCAGGCTCCCTTTATCTGTAATCTTTGACGTGTATATGTCATCTTATTATAGAAAATAAAATCTCTGTATTTCGCATTTTATATATCTGAAAATAATTGTAATGGATTAATTACATTTTTGCGATTAAAATGACACTAAACACGACATAAATCGTATAATTTTTAATGAAATAAGTAATCATAATTACATATAATACATAATTGATTATTTCTTTCATTTTTATAATTCATAATTATAACTACAATTCGTGAAAGCATATTATGGCTTCAGAATAATTTGTCACCATGGCAATTAGTTGAAAATCATTGGAAAGCAACTTTAGCATATAGACGGAATCAAATTCAAACGTCTCAAAATAAAAACATAGCTGAAATTTTCTCTCAGTGGCCAGTTTTAAAGCATCCTACAGCATATACTTTGATCGATAAAGATTTTACATTTCTTAATTTAACATCAGAGGATTGTATAAATAATTGGTTTCAGTTTTTTTCTAAGATTCAAGAAGTTTGTCCTTTTAAAGATGATAAAGTAATAAATGAGTTACGTTCTGTGATTGAAATAGATAATGTAAAAGATGGTAAGTTTACAAAAAAATAATAGCTTATATGTATGTTTATATGTGTGCGTTTTTGTATTTGTGTGTGTATATAATCATTAAATTATCAAATTTTAATTTTTATATAGATGCTAAAGTTATAGTACAAATTCTATTATTGCCTCATCTGATACCTCCCAAAGGAAGAATTCGCTTAAAACAAGAACATTACAAATCATCTATAAGTACAAAGAAAATATTTACTTGATCTAATCTCACATTTGACTAATTTGAAAATATATGTTGCTTCTTAAATTCAATACATAATTGAAATAAGATATTAAATATTTAAAGAAACCAAATCTTAGATTCCTGTAATTTGATATTCATGATAGTCAATACAATAATTATTTTATATTACATTAAATATGATTGACTAAAAAATTATTTTATTTGAATAAAATTAATATCTGTTTCGTGTAATTATATATATAATTCATATAAAATAGCTATTATTATTTTAAATAAACAAAATCGTACATTTAAATATATATATATTTAAACATAATTTACTTTTGTTAAGCCAACTAAATATTTTTTTTTGTACAAATTCATTATTGTATCTATCGAGACATATTATTTTTGCAGATTAACAAATATTTGCTTGACAGCCCGTGACCGCCGCATATAGTTGAATAAAAAAAAATTTTTTTGATTGAACATTTTTTTTCTCAGTGCTTAAATGCGGAATTATATAGGATTTTTATTATTGGCCGACTCGATTTTGGACTTGGTCGAAACAAGAGTTTTCGATAGAGAGCAAGAGTTGGATAGTATAGTCGAAACATTAATATTCGGAAAAGAGAAATTTGTACAAAATTTATATGAACGATACAAATGTATAAAATATTTGAAAATTGTCAGCGACAAGAAGAAGAAAGTTTATATTTGATAGCATTTCAATGTTTGGAAAGTCTCCCTTGAAGACTTTCCTTCGGTGTGTTTTATATCTTATTAAAAGAATAATTAGAAGAAGGCAGGAAACGATGCTTGGGATAATAATAGGATTTTCTCGTGAGTTTCTAATTATATGTAACATCGATTTTATAAGTGCTATGCAAATTTTCTAGCATACGACGACATATACAGAAACGAAAATAATTACACAAATAATTATAAAAAAAAATAATTTTTCTTAAACTAAAAGTATAATAACTTCGGGGTTTATTCGAACATTTCTGTGTGATTTGTGCTATATACAAAGCGTCCATAAAATCAGTCTTATCTTTAAAAAGTTTATAACTCTTTAATAAAGCATTTTCGGACATAGGTTTATATAAATTATTTTTATCTACTCGACCCCACACATTAATGCATTTTATAAATTACCAACCTTTCCGAATACCCTGTATAATAAGAAAAAAAATAAAAGAGAGACGAGTACAATCGAAACGAGATATTTATTACAGAAAGATTACAAGATTATATCCAAGACTATAAACATTTTATACGCGGCTGTATTATGCCGTGATCTGGACGCGGGAGTTTCCCCCGTTTAATCGTGAAAAATATTATTTACATTGCACATATATCACACTAGCGTTACTATCAGACAAGCGGAAAGTTGATCGCTGAGAACTCTCCGCAAAAGGCCGTTCGAAAAAAAAATACAACCCTTATTTCAAACGAACTCGTCTTTCCTGGCGCGTAAGAAATAATTGCTAGAAGATTTATAGAATAAAAGTGATCTTTTCGTCTGACGCGATTGAATTATTAATACATCCACATCTCTACAACGAATATCGATCAAGTTCAATCAAAACTGATATCAAATCAAATTTAGAAAATTTCCTGTCAATTTTCCATCTTGCACCTCTTCAATCTTAGAGATTAATTATGCACGAATTTTAACGTTAAAAGAGCCAAAGATGAGAAACTGTCATGAAGATCAATATCATTCTCTTTCTAGCTAGAAGTCGGAAAATTGTCTCAAAAATTTAGTTTGCTTATATCGAATAAAAATCTGTAGGTGTTATAGAGAATCCGTGAATGCTCGAAGAAAATATCTATCTTCGCGAATTCGTTTCCTCTAGTATCAATTTTTCAACCTTTCATACAAATTCTCGGCTAATTTGGAAACAAATTGTTAACGAAAGAAAAAAGAAGCGTGTGTGTCCTTTTTCGATTAAGAGAATCATCGTTTAGATAAACGTCTGAACAACACGAGTGAATAATAGTCGTGATGTTGTTCTATAATATGCGTACAAATATATAGAATCAAAAATAATTCATCTATAACAGTTATGTTATCGAAAACGCAACGTAATACATATTCTTCTAGGCGACTATCTCCGTTCATCACGAACGGGCGCTATTATACCACTTCCAAAGAATGCGTGTTAAGGAAGAACTAGACGGATCAGCTAAAAATTAAAATTTTTATTTTATTGAATTTTTTCGTGTCGTACAGTTAAAATCGTGATAATCATTATAAAAAAGTTAGTTCGATATAAGATATTTACGATTTTGAGGTGAAATTATATTCTACAGGGCAAATCTTTACTTTAACTCACAAATTAATTATTAATTTTATATTTTAAAAGTATAAAAGTGCTTTGCGCAATGTCAATTTTATAAATCTCAAAATGTATTAGATTTAATTAACTAACTAATTAACTTTTGATATAATATATACTTTGTAATTGCGCTGAGGATGGTCCAAAAAAAGGGACCGAAACGTATGCTTTTTGTGATTTTGTCTATCACGTAGTCAAAATATCATTGTAATTTGATTGTAATAAAACATATGCGCACAAATTACCGCGCTGGCTCTTAATTGCCTTTTATTTTCTTCGTATGATGTATTAGATTTATTAACTTTTGAGATAGCTGATCCGTCCAGTTTCTCCTTAATTTTTCTTTCTCGCTGTTTGTTATTCTTTTTTAAGTACCGAATATATTATTATTATTACTCTTATTATTATTTATGCCTATATTCAGCGTATATATGCGTCGTCTTCGTTTCCCGACAACGATACTAGCATTGTCACTTTAAATCGCTGCCGTCAATCACCATTCTGTTAAGCCGGGATTACGATGAACTTAACATAACGGGACGCGACGGGACATTAAGTAACGTAAAATCTAAAACACGTTGTTTTATATACGATTGATTATGATCGACTTTACGTAACGTGACGTGAAATATCAGAACTTAACGCGATAGAAAAGCTTGCCAATGTCAAGCTTTGTCATCGTGTTTCGTGTAGTCGGAATATGTTCATGTGACTCTTTCAGCTCACGTCCCGTCGCTTCCCTTTACGTTAAGTTCATCGTAATCTCGGCATTATCGTTATACTAAAATACGTCGACGTGTGTGCGTATATACATATATGTATATGCATGGTATATGATGCGCACATATACGTATATATTGCAGACCTTTTGTACAAAATCAACCTTTTTATAGAAAGACTTAGCAATTTTTATAAAACATTTTTAAAAAGCGTCTTATAAAAAGCCTAAGTTTTTCATAAAAAAGCCGTATTTATATATAAAAAGCTTGCAAAAAAACACGCACGCGCGCACACACACACGCACATATACATAGATACATATATACGAAGTTCGCACGATCGAATTTTTAACGTCTACTACAATGAAAAAAATATTTTTGTTTCTTTTAAAACACTTTCTCTTAGCACTTTGGAATCTCCTTAAAAATTTATTGTTATCATAGTTTGCCGAAAAAAATGACGAATTGCTTGATACATTCGTGAAGAAGTAAAGCATCTTATGTACAGAAGTGGCTAATAGTTGGCGATATTCATCGATTATTAGTGATATTTAAGATTTTTGCAGCAATTCGCGGTATGTAATTAGACCAAACATTGTATAGTGTTATAATATTATTCATTAAGTATTGACTATATAAAAGTAATCGAAGTGCCAGATGTTGTGATTCGAACTTTGTGACGATTAGAGTGCTACTCGATAAAAATTCTTCATTGTAGTGAAAATTCAATTAGGCGGTAAAATATAAGAAAAACAAAGCCAAATACGTGCATAATATGCGTCATAAAACATTGCATTACATCAATAAGCGTTCAGAAAAGAGATAGATTCGATTAATATTTTTTTCGTTAAGACTTCTGTTTCCTCACTATAATCATATTGGATTATAACGTCAAAAATGAAAAATACGTTCATTCTTCTCTCAAAATAAATTAGTTTTTTTCATATGTTATCATTCGCGTTTTATAATAAAATTGGTCAAATGTACCAAAATAAAGTTCATGTTTTAATTTTTTGAAAAAAATACGAGATTGTAATAAACTAACAAAAATATACGAAAAATTGTAGCAAGACGACGCAAACGGTCTGACCACCGGTATTTTAAAAGCGTCTAAAGCAGAAAATATATGTATGTCACTCTCTACGGGGACAAAACGCGTATAAAAATCCTAGTCACATAAAGAAGTCTATAAGCGCTTAACAAAGAGAGGATGATATTTCTTAAAATAGCTATTACATAATTAATATGATAGCATTAATTTTTTTAACGATTTTCTATATACGACCCCAGAGGATATACATATATATGTTAATTCGAAAAATGATAGGACTGTATTTATAAAACTATCCTTAAACATAAAAGTAACCATACAAAATTTACGATATGCTATTGTCTTCATACATGCAACTGTATGAAACAATTAATAATCTCTATATTCGTATAATAGACAATATTTTTACATCCGATAATAGCAATAGGTAATAATAACAAAAATGCAAAATCCGAGAGACAAACAAAACCCGTGAGCGATGGTCTTGTTCATTTGCAGAAAAGAACACGTTTACACTTAATGTTTTTAAAACGTTTCTGTTTTTCGAGATAAGCTTACGCTTTGTACCAACACGCACTTTTGGACAATCCGATTATCTCTTTCTCTCTCTCTCTCTCTCTCTCTCTCGCATGTCAGCGCTTGATAAGGTGCAATAAATTACAATCAACAATGAAACGTATTTGGAAAGCATTCGAAAAAAGCAATATGTCACGAAATCAGATGTATCTCAAAATTGGTTATCTTTATCCACTTGATGGTGACTGTGTACGCATGTGTATATGGATCCAGCAAGTATACAGAATACACCGCCGTAAAAAAAAATGAAGTTTTGAAGCAAACACTGTAATTATTCATTCTTATTATCAGTCACTTATTTCCGAAACGGCGATGCGCTTGCGTTTCCTACTTGGAGACAGAGACAGATGGTAAGATTAGCGATTAGTGGATAAATAATGTGATTACACGTGCGAGTTGGCAAAGATAGCGTTGAGAGATTCTTTGGAGAGGTTTTGAAGAGACGAGTAGCTCGCAGACGATAGGCAGACTCATCGTGCATCTTTTGCCGTCAATTTTTCTATTAGCTCTTGCAGAGGCGCCAACTCTCTTCTCTCGATCAGATTGAATTCCTATAAATTAATTAGATACATTGGATCAACATGAGGAGTAAAATCAAGCATTATATGACAATTTTAATTTATATTAAATTTAAATGTTACATCTCTTTTTTTATATAAAAATTATATAAAAATATCCCCCATCTATATCATTACATAAAATTCTAGTATTATGCTACTCTATATCATTACATAAAATTTATTATGTATATCATTGTCATATCGTACTAGATATTGTATACCTGAACAAAAAATATAAAATGCTTGAATGATGTATTTAAGTGTGCCTCCTCGCCGAGCTGCACGACTTCGCTGAAATGCTGATGATAAATGTGGGCATATACTCTGAATAACCGTTTTAGAATGGTTTTTGCGATTGATAAGAAATTTTTCGGAAAAGGAACTCCTGCAAAAAAAATAATCGAGGATTAATTCTCACAAATTTGAGATAATTGATGTATAGAAAATGAAATAGTCACCGATTTTAGATGGAAATAGAGTCTCGTCGTCTAATTGATCCTGCACCCAGGTCATCAAGTAGTCTATGTACTTGGGTGCTGAGCATTTGATGGGTTTCTTCACTGTATGACCATCAGCCCAATGATACTCGTACTTTGGTCCAGCTGACATAATGGGACAACTCTCCTCCGTGCAAAATTCCGTGATGGTGCCATAAAGCATATTGATTTGATTGAAAAAATCAACAGCTGAAGAAAAACAGATATGAGATAAAATTTATTTGCTCGATCAATACAAAAAGAAACAGAATATAAAGAAAATAGATGTTTCAACTCACTATTAACGGCCACCCACTCGTTCAAATCTTCCCCTTCGGGGAGCATAACAGCCAATCGCAAATTTCCAGAACCCAATGTGGCTGCGGCATGTTTCATCAAATCATATTGATGTGTGCCTTCAGGAATGTTCTTCTTTGGTTTAAAGGTCTTTGAAGACCTGCTCCCACTTGAGAAAAAAATTCAAAGACAAAGATTATATTAACAAAGATTGTTATGTCCATGATTTTTATTCATGTTATTATATGTTGTTAAAATAAATTATTATTATTAACATTTTGAGAATCAACATTTGCAGAATGTAATGAAGCTAAGACATAAAACAAGAAAGAAAAATATAAGAGTTATCCCATACAGAATGAATAAAGGACATTCATCACATTATCTCATTTCAGGTAAGAAATTAACAGCATCTAATTAAAAACTGTTTGTATATTGTTTTATTGAAAAGTTTAAAAATAACAAGCACATCTAATAACAAAATGCAAATAATAAAAATGTATACAAAATCTAGCTTTACCAATTTATTTTAATAATTTTCTCACACACATCAAAAATTTTATTTTAACAGTAAATAAAAAAAGATAATAATTGAATAATTGAACTATATATTTCTTCCTTTTCACTATGCTTTCTTAATGTTGCCCTTAAATCTTTTTTCCGAAAGCCTAACTACATGCATGCTTATTCATCATATGTACATAAAAGAAAATATTCTTATAAAAAATCATTCAAAAAAATTTTTTTGTTAAACATTACATTTTTATGTTCTGTTTCGCGAATTTTTCCCCTTTTCTTCTTTTCAAAAATGTACATTTGCTCTATTGTATTGCAGAAAATACAACTGCAGCTAATAAAGAACGAGAACGCGCATTTCTTTTTAAAGTTATATTTCTCTCCCAAATTCTTTTTTCCTTTCTTTCTTCCTTCCACGAAAAAAACCTAAATATATATGTATGTCCATCTCATTATACATGCGGAAAGCGTGAGAAGGCGCAGCTGTAAAAGAAAAACAAACCTTTTACAGACACGGACGCTCAGCTGATCGCGAATGTCAAAGCGAGCGACATGACGCGTCGCTATATCGCGATCTCAAAACTCTTGACGGCAAGAAACAAGGCGCGGCCGCCGAGACGGAGATGATTCATAGATTACGCGTTGCATCGAGCGATAATCCTGACATTCGAGGAATATGGTGGGTCCCACGGGAAGATGCGTAAAAAAAAAGGAAAGCTTCCGCGCGATAGGTAGCACGCGCTATTTTTATCCTCGATCGATTCACACCGGCGGATTGCACATCTCCATCCCCTCTCGATGAATTTATCGTCGTGCACAAAATGATAAATTTGATCATCGTTAGATTAGACGTGTAAAAAAGAAAAACAAGGTACACACAAACAAACGCATACACATATTCTGAAATAAAACAAAAAACGAAGCTTTCACGCAGAAAAATTCAACTCGTCAGCTGTCACAAAACAAGGAAATCCTCGAAGATCCTCGTGACTTCGTCCTGTTTACTCTTCCTCCCGGTTCTTCCGAGACATATACACACACATATATATATATATATACATATACATATATCGATCGGACGAAGGAGACTCGACTCGATGGCGATTATTGGAGAGGAAAATTCGCGAGGCGAAGGAGGACTTACAATAGGAAGCTCATTGTGGTGGGCTCGTCGTATATATAGTTGTAGCTGGATCACTCTACTCTCGCTCCGTTTTTTACACTTCGATCTACTCTGCGTTGCGATAAGGAGACAACGGACGCGATGACGGCGATGTTTGTCCGACGATAGCAGACGACGACGACGACGGCGACGTCGTTGCCAGTCAATCGCCCGCCGCACTCGCGATCCTCGCGATGCTTTCCCTCCCTGTGTCTCGCAAACGTTGCTTCACGCTGTCGTACCGGGATGACGAATCGCCGTTGTCCGCTGTATGTTGTCCGTTTACTGTTCGTCCGGCTTCACTCACGTTATAATCCTTTCCTCGCGAAAATAAGACGGCGTTTGCGCCGACCCGACTAGAGTCACGGATCTTTGTCAAACACTTCTCTCTCTCTTTCTCTCTCTCTCTGTCTCTCTCTCTCTCTCTCTCTCTCTCTCTCTCTCTTTCTTTCTCTAAACGTAATTATTACAGATTTTCAAGTTGCGTTCCAAAATTTACTCCTTGAAGTAGAGTAGCGTTCGATTAATCAATCAGGACAAAAGAAACAAAAATTTCTCTGTTTTGATTAGTCAATCGAACGCTATTCAATTCCAAGGAGAAAATTTTGAATTCCAATTTTAGAATGTAATCCTAAGTGCATACTATATGTCACATCAACGTTATGTGTCAAATATTTTTATATGAATTTTAATTGTCAATGGCAGTCCGATCCTGCTATGATCAATATTGTTCCATTCGAAACCCATTTAAGAATTTTTAATGTTACGTATAGCGTACGTTTTGCTTTAGAATCTGGACAGAATCCGACTTTTTACCGATTGAGATCCTTTTAGAAAAAAATTGCGGAACCAATTAAAAATATTGAAAATTTCAACATCGTATAACTACCCAGTGAGCAATATGTTATCAAAAGAAATTCATAAAGTACTCAAGTTTAAGAGTCGGACTTCCGAAAACACCATCAAAATGATAATATTATGATATCAATAAGTCCTCCAATGCGTCGATTTTAGAGGAAAGAAAGACATCATATAATTGACATCTAAAAGAATTCCACAATCTGACTTCTTTTAAATATCAAAAAAATGTCACCGTTAAGAACCGTTCTATTTGTAGTATTATATTTTTGGGCGAGCTTTTTAATTCATCGATTGATCAATCGCATATGATGCGCAAGTACAGCAAAGTCCTGTATTTGCTACATTTGTGCATCATGCGATTGATCAATCGATGAATTAAAAAACGCCCTTTACATTTTTTGAAGACATAACCCAACTTCTTAGGTTAAATATAGAAATAACAAAAATATATATGAAAATATTAATATATTTTATGCTCAAATACATATTTAATAATATTTATAATTTAAGAAAGAAAGATTATCTTAAAAACGTTAATATTGAAGAAATGCTATCTCTTTGAAATCCAGAGCATGCAGCGGCACGCAGTTCACACTAGACACAGGGTCTCTAGTTCACATGTACGTTGCTTGCGCATGTGTGCGGCTTTCGTAAAATATCTTAAATGGCACGCTTGCTAGAGATTTTAGAGATATCTATGAAGAGATATCATAAAAAGCTCTTGTGAAAGATATCTTACAAAAAGATAACTTACTGATATCATTTCTAAGAAAATTTGATTATGTCTTTAAAAAAGTCCTCTTAAAGAGCTCATCCTCTCAATAATGCTCACTGGGTAGTTTGTAAACGCTATTAAATTACTAAAAACGCTACATGCTAGAGAGAAGACTTCTTTTTGACAATAGGTTTGTTCGCGTTGCTTAAAATTCCCAAAAATTTTTGCACTTAAAACGAGATAAATATAAGGTCTGTTCGCGTTGCTTGAAATTCCTAAAAAGTTCTGCACTGAAAACGAGATAAATATATATTTGGATGTTGAAGAGAGTGAAAGCGAAGATGCTGAGTGCAAAAAGTTCAAACAACGCGAACAAACCTAATATATTAGTCTGTGGTTTTTTCTATTCTTTAGTTTGATACAAGCAACAATACGCTTTTGCAAACGAAACACTTTTGTATCAGTGCACTACGGTGACGTTACGTTGGCAGTACTGACAGTGAAATTCGAAACGCGTACGCGCACCCTACATTTGAACGTATGAAAAGATGAAATTTTGAAACCTGACGAGGTCCTGGTGACGTTGTAAGGATCAAAGGTTACGCGATATAAACATATGTATATACTCTGTTTACAGGGCTACTTATAAGAAGTTTAATAAGAGCAGTGTCTCTGTTATGTTCGAGCAATCGAGTACTAGATTCATATATATATACTTTACTTTCTGAATTTATTTATCATCGTCTTTAAAAAATGAACAATCAAATTATTATTATAATTCTGATCAGCTCAGGACTCTTCGCTTTTTGCCGAGCGCAAGACATTTCGGCGTATTTAACAGATAAACGTTTCATCGATAAGGAACTTCACTGCTTATTGGAAACAGGGGAGTGCGATGGATTTGGAAATCAAATAAAACGTAAGAATCATATTCTATTATTTCTATTCTTACATTATAAATCGTCTCATAATTATGTGAACTTACAAATAAAGTACACTTTATTGAGTTTTTTTTTGTGCATTTGAAGTAAATTATTATAATAAATTAATATATAATTATTAAATTATTATATAATTAAAATAGACGCCAAAGACGTGTATAATTTTTTTTATTGAAAATTGTGTTTTTATGTATATACAGGTATACTGCCCGTAGTACTCAAGGATAACTGTCGCCGTTGCACTCCGCAGCAGAAAGTAAATCTACACAGATTGATACAATTTCTACAATCGCGATATCCCACGCAATGGCGCACGATCGAAGGAATGTACACTTCACGAGCTCATCATTTCAATGAAAATAAATAGTCTCGTTTGTTTCTTCATTTTGTTTCGAAAATGATTATATGACGACGTGGATAGCGATAAAAATCAATTCATTTAAGACATATGTGTTATCATCATGTTAAATATATCTTTTTTATGTAACACTTATTTTTTTTACCTTTTTATATATATAAACTAAACAAAAAATGTAAATCTTTTTATTTCTTATGTATATATATCCTTATATTTTTTTCTCTAGCCATTCGTCAACGTATTTTCAATATAAAAAAAGATTTGTAGCAATATTTTTTTTTATAATTATACTGGAAAAACTTCTTGAAGTATATATTAAAAACATTGTCATAAAAATAAAGTCTAGAGATAGTATCGTTTTTTGTATAATTATATTTTTTATGTGTTTATAAAATATCAGTTATAAATGTGAATTACAGTACATATAAAAAGAAAGTTTATTTTGCAAAGTAGTTCGATAAAAGCATATTTTATCACGGTTTTAAATATGACGTCTCAAATTCGAACCTTTCTCGAAAAAAGTATGATTTATTTAAAAATTCTTGTATACGATAAGAAGCTACAGCCAGTGAGATTATCGGTGAATCGATATTAGCGGTTCATCGAAGCCACTTTCTCTTCATGCGTCACACGTTTCAATAGTTTGTGTGATTCGTGCACTATTACTGTGTAAGATTTCTTAATTGATACATGTTATCGCATTAATGTATTTCTTTTTTTTATATAATAGACAGAGACGAATTGAAAAATATTGAAAGTAAAAATTAATTGTTTTTGATAATATAGATGGTGTATGTCACATTTTTTATTGTAAAAAGCTTATGCTCTCTCTCTCTCTAATAAGTTACAAGAAAATATCTCTTACAATTATTATCAAAAATATTTTATAAATATATTGTCCAAAGCACAAACTTTATAGTCCGCTTCTCTTGATGTAACACATCAATAGAGTGGGTCAAAGACTCGACCTGCTATGCATATCAATAGCTTGCAATCAGATAAAGATTCTAACGCAACACACATACATATATACATATATATAAAGATTGAAGAAATAAAATTTATTAAAATTTATTCTAAGGAAATACGAGAATTTTGAAATTCGAAAAAAAATCTAATTATCTTTTTTTCAAATTTATGGAACTTATGCAAGATTGATTGATGATATCATTCATAGATGAAATTAAAGAATCTAATAATGAGAGGTTTTCGTGGATATTATCATTTTATCACGGAAAATTCTAATCGAGATGTAAACACGAGCGAATAAACGATCGATTGTCGAAATGGAACACTGAGAAAAAAAAGTTATTAACTTGACTAAATTCGTCCAACTAATTACTATTTCTTTGTATTTCTTTAATTGAAATATTTAATAAGTATTTAAGTCAAATACGACATATTAAATCTAACATGACGTATATTTGACTTAAATATTTCAATTAAAGAAATTCAAAGAAATAGTAATTAGTTGGACAAATTTAATTAAGTTAACAACTTTTTTTCTCAGTGTACGATAGAATAAGTATTCAAATTCATTGGCCCATAATTTATTAATGTAAGACGTCATACTACTTCTAGGGAAGCAATTGTAAGACATTCGAGTTGCACGGCAGGTAGTACATAATATACCCGTCCGTTCGAATCGTTCTCCGTTCGACTATATAAAGGCTGTCGGCGATTGACGCTTTTTAACTCCTGTCTGCAGCCTTGTCGACCGAAGAAGAAATCAAAATTGTGTGTTCTCGTACTTATCGATAATCTTTCATAATGAAGAAATATTTCTTAATCTTGTTGACCTTGTTGATGATGACTCTGGTTGCCGCCACTGAGAAATATTCTAGAAAATACGATGACGTGGATGTGGACAAAATTCTTCAAAGTAATCGTATTCTCAACAATTACATCCGGTGCCTGTTGGACGAAGGACCCTGCACTGCCGAAGGTCGCGAATTAAGAAGTACGTATATATAGAAAAGGAAAAGTTAAAAGAATGAATCTAGTAAGAGACATTATAAAATTTTCACACTCTTATTTTTTTTCTTATTTTTATATACCACATTAATTCAATGAACACATACAGTATTATATTGTAGTTGTGGCTGCAATATTACGGTAGACTCAATATCCATACTCTCTCTCCCTCCCCCTTCCCTCTCTCTCTCCTCATCCTCTCTCCATTACATAATGTTTACTGTCAACTTTCTCGCTCAATTATACATATATCCGGGGTTGTTTAAGTAACATTACTTTTTTTATATTACTTCTTAAGATCGAAAATAATTATAATTGTAGACCAAAATGTATATATAACACTTAATTAAGTTTCAAATACGAATAAACAATATGAAAAGTAATAAATAAATTCAATTTTTTGTATGTTCAAACATTGGTAATAATATTTAATATTTAATCATTGGTAATCATATTTAATATTTAATCATTGGTAATATTTAATTGCGAAATTGCGTTAATATACATATAAGCGATATATTAAAAAGCTATAGTGTACAATATAAATTCATAAAAGATATTTTCTGCGCTATATCTCGGAATAATTTAAATTATATAGATGCAGTAATATTATTAATTATAATGGAATAATAATATATATGAATTTTATTTTATTCTCAGAGATTTTACCGGATGCTGTATCGAACGTTTGCAGCAAGTGCAATAGTGATCAAAAGGCTGCAGCAGAAAAAGTAATACATCATCTTAAAACAAAACGATCCAAAGATTGGGATCGTCTTGTTGCCAAATACGATCCTCGTGGCGAATATAAGAAAAACTACGAGAAATTATAGTTCTCTTCTTTCAAGTATTTTAATTATAATCATTGCATATTTTTGTAAAAAAGGCAGTTATTGTAAAATATAAAATATCCGTCGATATTGAGGATACAAAATATAGATGTAATACATGATGATGATATATTTGAATGGAATTTGGTTAAATACAGAACAAATATAAAATTTAATAAAAGTTTTATTTTATTCATTGAATCAGCATCTTTCGCGCGAACATGCAGCAGTAATGTAAACTTATTAATCTGTTGTTCACGAATTATTCTTCCAAATAAAACAGATGCCATAATGTCATCATCATTAAAAATGTTTTATGCAAAAGGTATATTTGTCAATAAGTTTACGTGTAATGTTATCAATCATAATGTCATTGTTATATTTACGGATACATTCCAAGAAATATTGACAATATATATTATATATTTCAAAGAAAATATCAAGAGATAAAGTTGATTTAAAATTTCTTCATTCGACACGTCTTTTCTTAACTAACGATCCAAGCTGAAACAAATAAATATATAAATAAATATAAATACATAGATTAAAATTTATACACGGAATGTCCTAAAATTTCCTAATCACAATACTAATTTTCTTGATATACATACACACGTTTAAAGCTGTACAATTTATATGATTTATGTATATTCTTTATGCATACTATTTTTATCATTGGGTTTTTTTATGAATATATTTTGTGGCTAAACACTAATCATTTTCGAACTCAATTTTTCGACCTTTTCTGCCACAGTATTTTAATTTGCGAATTTTGGGACATTCTTTATATATATGTATTTATGTGAATGAGCGTAAAAATTTTTGAATAAATCTAAATATTGTATGTATGCAATTGTTATGCATCCATACGTACAAGATCCGAAATTGCTGGTAGATTATTGGTTTGATCAGTAACAGTAGACTCTTGTTCGCGATTTTCTTTCTGAGTAACCGCTTTTTTCATATTTCTATGTTGTGGGAAAGTAGGCATAAGTTTTGGATCACAAGCTGCAATAATATCGAATTAGTTAGATAGCTCTATTATAAGTTCTGTTTTAAGAGGACAATTCTAAAGAGAATTCAAAATGCATTTATATATATATATATATATACTGACGTAAAGGAGCTTCTTTGAAGTAACTGCTTTGCAGACATTCTTCGGCGGTTGCTCTTTTTTTGGGATCGTACATAAATAAAAAGTTCAATAATCTAAGACCAGCGGCACTCAACCAAGGAAATCTTTGTTTCAAGTTGTTATATGGTTGTTGTTTAAGTGTAAAATTCTGCAGCGCCGGTAAAGAGTTAAATTCTGGCCAAATAGCTTCACTGGGTGTACCCAATAAATCGACAATTAATTCTAATTGTGCTATTTCTGTTCTACCTGGTAATAAGGGTCTATGTCCCAATAACTCTCCTATAATAAAATGAATGATATACGATGTATGTATAACGTTTACGCATATAAGCAATATAATGATATTAAAACATCCTGTTTAACATTAATTTCTTACCCAATATGCATCCAGCTGCCCACATATCGACAGAAGTAGTTTGCGTCTTGGCTTGCAATAGTAATTCTGGTGCTCTATACCACAACGTTACTACTCTAGGAGTCATTGGTTTTAATGGTAAACCAAACCACCTGGCCAATCCAAAATCAGCAATTTTTACGCAGCCTTTATCGGTCATAAGAAGATTAGAGACTTTCAAGTCTCTATGAACAATAAAATTATGATGCAAGTAACGAAGACCCTTTAATACTTGCAACACTATACATTTGACTTGACTCTCTGAAAACGGTGCCTGCATATTGTCCAGTAAACTCGCTAGATCTTGTTCGCAATATTCCATCGCGAGAAATATGCTTTCTAGACTTCTGCCTACTACTACTTCCCTTAGGTGTACGATATTTTCGTGTCGACATGATAACAAGACTGATATTTCCCTGAGACCACTTACTGGCAATCCATCCTTCTCATGTTCCATCCTTACTTTCTTCAATGCAACAACTTTGTCATTTTTTGTATCTCTCGCTCGATATACAATTCCGTAAGTACCTTCTCCAATACGATTTAACTTTTCAAACTCAGAAACAAACCTACATTTACCAAGCTGTAAGAAAAATATGAACCAAACCTAATGTCATATAAATATATTCAACAGAATCTATAGAGATGAATCGAAAGTTTATTACAATGTCTTGTTCTGGTATTTCCATAGGTTTGCCGGTTAGGAAGGATGTTAATACTCCTTTCCTCGTGATCGGGGCTGATGGATCAGGCCCCGAATCGGACGCTGCTTTCTTATCGCTATCATTACGTTCCACCGACTTTTTCTCCAAGCTTTCCTCTATAAAATAGTAAAATCATTATATATCCTATTATCAAATGCTATGTTACGTTTCCGAAATGAAATACAAGTTGCTTAAACACCTTATTACACTTGCTTGTATAATTATTGTGTTATTTCAATTTCACATTCATATTTATAATTGATTTTAAAATTAAGATATATTCATTGTACCTTTCGTCATTTTGGCCACTAAACTACACGAAAAATTGATCAATTGAACAATAGTAGTATTACGCGAATTGGAAATTAGAGTAATAGATTTCTCCGGATCAGTGTGTTGTGAGAGCCGGGTTTTTCGCGCATGCGCGATGGAGTTAGAACCACAGACTTCGATTAAACCATAGATATATAAACATATAGATATAAACATATATCTATGAATTAAACATTGTCCTGATTGGTCAATCAAACGTTATTTTACTCCAAGAAGTACTCAGCAAGAAACATATATGTCAAAATGTTATGATTGGCTGTCAAATATAAAAATTTTCGGGGCTTTAAAAATTCTCTATTCCATAGCCAATAGAAATATTGTGTTTACCTGTGTTCGAATCCGTGTATTATATCCATATAGCAAGAAATTAAATAAAATTAAAATTAAAATTAAAATTAAAATCAAAATTATAATAAAATTAAAATAAAATTTTCCTATGTTTATGAATATATCTATGGCTGCGGTCGGGAAGACGCTAGAGATGCTTCGAAGCATTACATTAATCAATCAGAATAAAGAAATTTTTACTCTTTTTGTCCTGATTGGTCAATCAAATGCTTCGAAGCATTTCTAACGTCTTCCCGACCGCAGCCTATATTATACATACATCGTGACAACAGACCGTTATGTGCAGACAAGTTTGAAATCTTCAGAGTAATTTGGAATTGTGTTGTGTAGTGATTGCAATCGTTTTCCATTTGCGAAAGATTTGTTTATTACAATTTACATTGTTGATTCAAATAGCATACGTTAATAAAGACATGTGAAAATGTAGACAGACGAGTAGAAGGAATATGGAGGAAAGCCAACTTGTGTAAAAAGAATTCGAATTATTGTATGTGAATGATCGTTATTTTTGTACGACATACAATTTCTTAATTAAAAGGATAAATCTTATATTCTTGAAAGAATAGAAATTACATTACAAAATATCTATTTTATGGTAAGTACCGTTTTTTTAGAGATAAAAAGTAGAATTGTCTTCAGGAAATTAGATTGTTTGGATTATTTATGAAATTCATTTTTCTAGTTATCTGATTATACGGTTATACCTAAAATTTTTTAAAGCATTTTAAAAAGGATTTTGTTTTTTTCTTATATTTGCAACTCTTATTAAAATAAGACTTATATAAGTTTATATTTTTAGCACAATTTGAGTGAAAATGTTTCGAATAAAAAGTACACCACATCATCCTGATCATTCCACTTTTGGGTACCAATCTGAGAGCTCAGGTTAGTCAATAGATTGTTCTTTTTGTTATGTATATTCTCATTGGTATAATAATTATGTTAAGTTTGGCTAATTAAAAAATAAATTATAACTATATATAATATATAAATAATGCTATTAATTAACATATAAATATATTAAACACATTATAGTTTATTCTTTATACTGTAATTATTTAAAGAAAATTAAATGATTTTTTATTTTAGTACGAGAGTTATCCAAACCTGTAAGAATTACACAACTATTTGGATCATGTAAGCAGTCACGAAATGGTCAAACAAGTAATGTCAATTTTTTTATATATATAAAAAAATTTTTTAACAACTTTTTTAACAATGTATATATAGCCGATTCCTCCTCCATACTCGAAACGTAAAACAAATATATACAGCAAGCGCGTAAACGCGACACGCTGTTTGAGCAAATGTATTTTTGGCGAATTTTAATGGCTTGTTTATGTATGAACCGGCAATGTATATATATATATATATATAGAGAGAGAGAGAGAGAGAGAATATAATTTAATTGGTATATAAGTATTTATATATATATATTTGCTTTATTTCATTGTTGATATTACTAACAAAAAATGTATCATTTGCAGATTCAACTAGTAAAATTAGATTGCCTGAAAGAATCACTCCTTACTTGAAAAGTGCAAATCGAAAAGGAAATGGTTAGTATATGTAGATTTCTTTCTCATTTTTTTATCTATATATTGTATATATTTTATTATAGTTAGCAACTGTGTATCATATTCTTTTTAATAATCCTATTCATTTTTTTTTATTTTTTTTTTTTTAATGCAGAAACAAACACACATGTAAATCTGTCTCGTAACAAGAGGAATGTGCGGCGAAATTTAAGTTTTACGAAAATACCAACCATCACAACTAAAACAGAAACATCTGTAATAACAAGTAAAAATAATTTAAATGATAGTTCGAAAAAAGAAAATTCACATTTATCTACAAGAAAAAGTTTCTTATTGCCACCGAATAGCGTAAAGGATTTCTATGTTAAGAACAGATTCAAACAACCCAATTTTATATCACCTCGAATATGCATCTCAGACTACTCTGTGTGTGACAATAAGTATCCCAAAATATCTGAGAGATCAGAAACGAATTGCTCATCTCCTGTGAGAGTTACAAGTTCACGAATTGATTCTGTCATACACAAAGAAATTAACAAAACAATGATACAACATTTATCATCACAAATGTTTACTATGTATGATCAGTCTGGGATAGATATTTTACATTCAGAATGTACGGACACGAAGAATGATGCAATGGGAAAAGAAATTGTCAATAGTTCAATTAATGTTGAAGAAAAGAAATGCTTATCTACGACTACAAACAATTATAGAGAAGACTTGCATCAATCTGCACAAGATGTTGAAATGATAAACCAGCCATGCTTGAATTTAAACCATAGCACTAACAAAAATGATGAATATGTAACTCTTAATAAGACGCAGCTTACAATTTTGGCATCTAAACTGGAACATGACATTCGCAGATTAGAAGAAGATATATTGCCGAATTTGAGATTTACATTTACTACTATTATGGATGTATTATCTACGATAAACATAACAAAAAAGGAAAGCGATAACAATGATACCAAGATTACGCAGCAAATGACTGAAAATTTAAATGATCATATAAAAATGATGAATGATATAAACACGAAATCACTATGTGTGATCAGCAACATTAATACTGAGGACAATATTAATAATGAGGAAAATATTAATATTGAAAAAAGTATTAATATTGAAGACAGTCATATTCCAAAAGAAGTTTATAAAACACCTGATACTAATTTAATGAAATTTATGAAAACGGATGTATGTGGAAAGAACAATTCCAGAATTCGGTCATTGTGTCAGTTTGATCTTAGTTCCGAAAGCAATAAGGAAAATGATAGCTTTGTAAATTTAGAAAATATGCTGGATATCACGAATATAAAGTCTAATGTGACGATCGTATCACTTAAAAAAAGCACTCCCGTGTTGAATAAGTACAAAAACAAGAAAGAAGAGAGACCTTTGAAGGAATATATGGCTTTAAAGTCACGTATGAGTTGTTTGTTAACACCTAACATTAAACACTTTAATAATTCACAATCAAAAAATGATAATTTACATCCTGAAAGTGGTGAAGCAAAAGCTTCCTTGTCGGGTAAGATACTCGCAGAGCTTTATAATTTATATGAAGACTAGATACATAATAATTTCGTCAACCGATTTTCTCTATTTTAAGATTATTTTCTAAAGACTAGTTTTTTTTAATGCTGAAGACAGTAATATTTCAAAAGAAGTTTGTAAAACTCGTGATGAAAATGTACTTGCTGTATATCATCACATAGTGAATGTAGAAAAGCAACGCAAGAGAAGAATCTTAGAAGGAAAACAACTGACTCGGAATAAATGAATTTTAGAAAATAGAGGGAATCGGTGTATTGCATACATACTCAATATTCCATACCTAATAAATGTTTTAATCATAAGTTGAAATGCGCAATAAATAATCGTTGTAATATTTATTTTAAAATTAAGAATTTTTGTGTGTATGTGTTTTGTATGCGTGTGTGTGCGTGCGCGTGTGTGTGTGTGCATGTGCCAAGAAACAGGTTTTATCAAAGAATTTTTTTATATAAATAAATGATATGGATTAACAAATGTAATTACTTTTATGTATTATGTATAGTGTTTTTTTATAAATAAATATATATCAACATTTATTCAGAATAACAATATAAAAATATTACAGAGAAACAAGTTGTGTATCAAAGAATTTTTTATATAAATAAATAATATGGATCTTTATAATTGTAAAGTTACTTATGAGAATAAGTATTATGGCCTTTTTTTAAATAAATATATATCAATATCTATTCAAAATAACGGGATATGAAAATATTATCGGAGGACAAGTTATATTAAGATGTTTTTTATAATATTTGAAGTCTACGAGTCTACAGCACACAACACTGACCGGAAATAAGTTGGCGCTGGAAGTTCATATTTTTTAATAATTAATCCACAATTGCTTAATTGCTTCGCATTGCTCCATCATTATTTTCATGATTTATTGCATTTTTTATCGAAAATTAACAAATTAATAATTTTCCAAGCGACGCCGTCGCCACCTATCGGCCGCCTATCAGAACTATATGGTTCAGGAGCCAACAGCGAGAATATTCAAACATAATATAACATGAAACGATTGCTCCTTAATTGCTTCGCATTGCTCCATCATTATTTTCATGATTTATTGCATTTTTCATCGAAAATTAACAAATTATTCATTTCCCTAGCGACGCCGTTGTCACCTATCGGCCGCCTATCGGAACTATATGGCTCAGCAGCCAATGGCGAGAATATTCAAACATAATATAACAGCTCTATTGTTTATAGCAATATCTCAAAGAGTTTAATCAACGTTTCTTATTGATTTTTTAGTAGAATAATTGCACCTCGCTTGCTCTATTATGATATTCGCGATTGCTCCACTTGTATAATTAATCTTTTTATGATATATTAGGAAAAAAACCAATCATTTTCATGGAAATAATTCTATAACATTATGTTACGTATGACGTCGTCGGAATTGACGACGTAGATTTTATTATTTTACTGAAATTTTATAATTTTTTTATAAACATACCTATAATACTTAGGGCCAATTTCACCAAGTCCGGTTAGATTAACCGACGGTTAAAATTAGCAGGGTTTTAACTGAAATTATATGAATGCTTGGTTTTCCTTCACCGGTCTAGATATACTATGTCTATGCTATGGCCAGTATTCATAAGCCTATCACACACAAATTGGCATAGCTGCATATGCATAGCGCAAAGCCCGTATCAGACTACGCATTGAAGATTGAGATTGAAGATTGAAATTTGACCAATCAGAATAAAGAAATTTTAGTCCTTTTTGTTCTGATTAGTCAAATTCCAATCTTTAATCTTCAATCTTTCATTTTCAATGATACGGGCTTTAAGTGTGATCTTGGCTTGTCGTTATGCCAATATCAAACTACGCATAGAAAATTGAAGATTAAAGATTGAAATTTGACTAGTATACTCTCCTACTCCTACAGTCTTGTTACTGCCATTGTAGACGGGCCTTAAGGTTACGGACGAATCTAAGTTTACGGTTAGTACTTAACGTAACGTAACGCGTTACGGAAGAGCTTGTGCGGTGGCCCTTAACGTAAGGGCCACCGCACAAGCTTTTTTTGAGATTGAAATTTGATCAATCAAGACAAAGAAATTTTAGTTCCTCTAATCCTGATTGGTCAAATTTCAATCTTTAATACGTAGTCTGATACGGGCTTAAGGGCCATCGCACAAGCTTTTCCGTAATGCATTACGGCTGAAAATTCCGTATGGTTGAAATTCTTAAATCTTAAGTCTTACTGCTTAAGTTTTTCTATGTGCCACGGCCCTTATACGTGATCGTTTTCATATTTACCGATCTCGTAATATACTTGCTGCTCAGCTGATTTAGGGCCAATTTCACCAAGTCCGGTTAGATTAACCGACGGTTAAAATTAGTAGGGTTCCAACTGAAATTATATGAATGCTTGGTTTTCACCGCCGTAGAGTTAGCAGAGAAATTAAATATTTTCTAATTATTTTATATTATATAATAATTTTTTTATAAACATACCTATAATACTTAATGGCTTCATGCCTGTAACATTGGTAAGAAATTTCAAATACATATTTTTGTAACATTTTAATAGAAAGCACATAGAATTTATAATAAATTAAGAATAAATTTCAGGACCATGTGCTACGTGTTTCATTTTTCATCCTTTCCTCCGCGACAACCGTCCCGTCCTTCGCGATAACTGCTGCATCCTCCACGACAACCACCGCCTCATCGTCGTGGAGTATCATTCAATCGCCGCCGAGCACGTTGACGCCGATCGTCGATCAATGGCCAGGCAACCTACTCAATCTCAACGATCGTCCAGCATTACATCGAAACGGTGCGTTATCTCGAATCGGAGAACTTCCGGTTGAAGCGGGAGGTGCAAGGTGCAAACTACCCAGGAAACTTTCACTCGGGAAATGTCCAACATGGAGGCCGTACTCTCTAACAAGCGAAAGCTGCTCGACAAGGCGGACACGGAGCGCGTCAAGCTCGAGCTCAATATCAAACGCTTGCGGGATGGAACGAAGATCTCAAGAACAAGTAAGTGATACTGTATAGTATTTTTTCACATTGTTTCTTTACTTGCGAAATGGGTAGGAAAGTCAAATGGCATTAATAAAAATTATATTAATATTGATAGATATTGCCGTAATTGAGCTTGTGATATTTTGAGAATCATTGTGTCTGTCTAGAATGTGAATTTCTATACAGAAATAACTCGATGTAAGAATTTTCATTCCGTTTTGTGCTTAAACATGAATTGGGTCGCTTGTTGGATGCATGATAGATGTGTACCGTTGTTTAATGAAAATAAGTGCACTGCAGTAGTAACGTTCGGATTTCAATGCTATAGAGCCTATGCTATGTATTAAAAAATAACAGATATTAGTACAAGAATCTTGAAGTAATTAAAATGGTATTTTAATTTATTTTAATTTAGTAAATATATATAATGCGTTGTGAAAGTTGAGAAGATATGTTATGTAATTAGACTTAATCGGGTGCGCATATCATTTACTAAATTATAATGAATAACAACTGCCACTGTAAAATCATGCTCTGATGTAATAGCTCATAGAAATCTTAGCGAGCATTTTCAAAAATACTGAGAGTTAAAA